CGTTGGTGGCGCTGTCCAGAATGAGAAAAATAATAAAAAATAAGAGACTTGTGGCAAGTCTAACTGTTGTCCCTGTCCATTTAGAAAGCACTCCACCCAGGACTATATGACATTAAATTATGAGAATCCTGTTATTTTTCTTGGTTGTACAAAGGATACAGCTATCTTCATCATATGGGTATATAGAACTGCCTTGATTCAGAGTGTAACAAAAGAAGGACACCTCTAGAGTATAACACATGGTATTCTTGTTGAGAATGCCGCCTAAGAATCGACGTCCCGTTCCAGCCTTCATAGCATCACGATTGAAAGATGTATTCATCTAGACAAACACAAACAGGTCATCATTAAAAGTAGTCAAAAGAAGTTTTCATCAAACATCAAAATCTACTTTACTTTAGGTAACATCATAACATTATGTGTAAAAAAACTAAATAGGACAGTTAAAATTAATAATAATATAGAGTACAAACAAAACTGTAAAATAATGTGTGTTGTGGAACTGTCACATTGTAGTTTAGTGCTCGCCGTCCAATTCCAAAGTCTTGGGTTCAATCTCAGTGTATATAATGATTTTCTTCATGACTTTCTAATCATCATAACATGAATTAGTATTTAATGCATTGTAACTGCATTATTAACAATATAATACAAGTATAATGACAGTTATTATAAGGCTAAGTATGTATACATACTGTACTATAAAAAAAATACTTACCATAGAGAAGTCATCAGCATTTCCACACATGAGTTTTGGAAATACAGCTTGCTTCTCATAACGAGTTGCATCGTCGTAAACATTGCCGTACATAAATCCATTCATTAGTGTCGAGTGTGCATGAATATCCACAAAGAAATCCACATTCTCATTCTAAACAAAAGCAACAACTAAACAATTAGTAGTAATAATAACGACTAGCATATACCCATGCTCCGCATGGTGTTGAAATAGTGGGGAAAGGTGGTGATGTACTATTGAATATTATGGGCAGTTGAGGAGGCAATCGTTGTGGATGTTATGGTTACCATGTCATTATTTTTCTAAAAGACGTCTTTGTATTTAATGTTTTGAGTGTCTCTGCTGAATAGTCCTTGTGAGGAATTATTGTGATCAAGGGTGGATCAAGAATTTTTCAAAGGACTGAACAGTTTCAGAATAAATAAGCGAGTAGCACATAACATTGCACTGAAATTTTAAAAAATTAGTGGCAAAATGGGGCAGGCATGTTTCCCCCCTCCCCCCTTCCATCTGCACTCCCTCTCCCCTACTGGATTCGGGCCTGTTTTGTATTGATATGCGGCCTACATTGGGAGTAGGGCTACCCTCTTGTACGTGAAAATACAGCATATATACAGTAGGCCTAGCCTAGTTTGGCTTAAGAGAAATGTTTCTCTTCAATATAATAGGTGGATGCATGCATATTGAGATGCGTTTACGTAAATTCAAAGTATTGATTGGTGGAGCTGGCTTGACCCTAAACTTAAACTTAATGAACTATCACATCGCGGAAGAATAGCCATATTGATAGGACCAGGATTTGAGAGTGAGAGAGAGAGGGTAGGCCCTAGCTAACTAAACCTGAACCTAGGTCTATCTCTCATCATAGGCTAGGCCTGTATGGCCAGGCTAGCCCAGTATGATTAGGCTGAGCTTATATCATGGCTTACGCAGAGGTTATCTTTATTTTTACCTGATTGATTCCTAAAACACGCTATTTATTGCTGTTTTGAGCTTAATGCAATGGGTACTTGGAAGTGGTATGGGAACAGGTCACTCATTTTGTTGACGTATGATGAGAGAAGCACTGCGCGGTGACGTAATAAAGCTGCGAAACACAGACTGGTTCTTTTACGGCCTGCCACCATTTTTCTTAGATCTTTCTTAGACTGTATTTATGCGACGTAAACAACTCTCGAAACATGGTGAAACAGGTACTAATTGTCGGTGGTTCTTTTTCGTTTTTATATCCAATATCCAGTCTAGAAAAGTAGTGGAATGTGGTCGTAACATATAGAAACCCCAGTGTATGAGATATGAGCACATTCCTTCCAGCAGTTTTAGAGGAGATAGGTGAAATCACACCAGGACGTTAGTAGAATTAATATATAGATAATTTATTTTAGGTGAAATTGTTTGATTATACAAAATAAATATTTTTATTTTTTTCAGATCTAGTTACTGCATATTATACCCCATTAAATTTGGGGTTGCAATACTTCTCCTTATGCCCGCAGGTATGTTAGCCATGACAGAGCTTACAAAGACCATAATATTACAAACCAGACCTC